CTTTCTCTCTCTCTCTCTCTCTCTGTCTCTCCTTTTCGTCCCCCTCCCCCTCCTCCTGCTCCTCCTCTTCCCCCTCCTCCGCCTCTCCCTTCCATTCTTTTTCGATCTTTCTTATAAACACTCTCAAACTTTGTTTCCATTTCTGTATCCCCTACTCTGTTATTCACTCACACAGACACAATTACACAACCACCCCCACCCCACCCCAATGCAATGTAAAGACCTGATAACGAATCATCCAGCTAATAAATGGCCAAATACCTTGATAAGAAATGCCCTCTTAATCATTAGAGATAAAGCAAAACAAGCTGCAGGCTGCTAGGCTACTCAGTGATGAAACGAAACACTTTTTTTGTTTCCCCTATAAAACCAAATGGGCTGGGGTTTTAATCTTACCGTGGAGAAATGTAATCGGGCCTTATACTGACCGTCTATCATTGGTAAAGCAAGGCAAGCGGAAATGTTATGGCCATATCACCAGTTTCTTCAGGCATAGCTTAAACCATTCTGCAAGGTACTGTAAAGTGCGGGGAGGACGAAGGAGAAGCAGACTGAAGAAGCAAAGGGAAGATAACATCTGAGAATGGACTGCCATGGAACTGCGGGACACTGAGGAAAGGAGAAAGCCGAGAGGAACGGAGAAGACCTATTGTCATCCAGAGGCGACCCAAAGGATGACAAATCTACGGGAGCAGAAGAAGTCTTACCGTGCCTAGGAGCTCTGGTGCCGGGGGGTTGTATCCCACATCCCTTTCAGCCCCCTCGTACTGCAGGATGGCCGTCTGATGGGCGTTTTTGAACTCCACCCCACAGTCCGCTAGGCCTTGTACTCGAAGTAAGTAGTTCCCAACAGGCTGGTTTGTCGTCAGAATAAAGTCATACCTGGAGTAATTACAGAGACATGCAAGTGTAATTATAATGAGTCATCGTAGTGAAATCAGGCACTCGTCAAGATAATGAAATCGAAGAGACTCGATTTCTTTTTCCTCCCTTTCGGCAATTTTAATCGATTTTTCTTTTGCTTTGACTTAACACATTTTGCGTCCATTTCAAATACATTTCAGTTTGGATTTTCCTAAAAAACATTGATCAAAGAAACACACACATATAAATGTGCCTTTTCCAAGGGTGCTTAAGTTTTGGAAGTCACCACATTCCGAAGCCTCTTTTTCGCTAATATGCTAGCGAGCAAAAGAAACGCGAAAAACTACTTTTGTCATTACTAAATAATCATCAATAGTAGAAGACTTAAGTTTACAACATAAATAGTATGCCATATCCTCTTTGGAAATCAAACCTCAACTGTCTTGCTTATGACCGGAAACTAGAGTTATTGCCCCTTAATTGAAGCATGGACAAAGCCTCTTGGTACCTTCGACACACCGTTGAAATGCGTATCCCCCTGACCTAAGCTCTCCACCCTGACCCAAGCTGTCCTGCTGGCCACAGAGAGACGACTGTTTCTTCCGGCGGCGGATAAAAGTAAAAGTAAGTAAAATGCAATATTCACAGTGATGCCCCTCGTATCATTTCATAATCCCAGTAAACAGTTTGTGTTTAAATCCTCCCCGGTTTGTAAAAAGAAATATAAAGGAAAACGAACATGATAATCATTGCAAAGATAAACATTTTTTTGCATTTCATTTGCTCGCTAGTATATTACCTCTGAAACAAGGCGATCCCCACCTCGTTCAGTCTTAAATATCTCAACTTCAAATTAGTGTAGATGGACATTTTTTCTTGTAATAACAAGTAAACAAACATTAGGACTGTACAATAACTCGATATGCCTGAAAAATTAATTGACGAGCTCCTGATTTGACCACATCATGAAAAACTTTAAGGCCATACACTATTTCATTTTCAAAATGACGATCCTTAACAAGAATACTCACATAAAGTAGCCTATATTCTCATATTTTCAAACCCTCCAATTATATTCTCCGACACTCCACAATGTTTCGTCAAAGTACAATAAATCCTCCAACGCGAAGTGTGATTAAACCTTAAAGTAAAGGTAAGGGAAATTTAAAACAAAAATTATATTCACGAATGAAAACATTTTTGAGACGTCCCACTTTTCCTCTGTATCCCCCTCTTTTCGACCATTCGTATAGACATACTGTGAAAGCATTTTTAGAGCAAATCATTGACTAGAACCTACTTTTTCTAAGCCCAGAAAGCATTTTTTCCAGGATTTAGGGAAAAAATGTTTCATTCCTTTAAAAATGGTACCAAGCCTATGTATCTTATCTAGGTATATTTTATATTAGGAAACTGAATTGCGACAAAATATATCAGGAGCGCATCCACCTGTTACCACAGGTAAAGAGACTGCACTAAAAAGAAATTCAAAATTCTGGACTTAGAACATCTAAACAGCTGCCTAAAAATTGTGATCTAATTTATAATAAATAGCACACTTAGCAAATGGCATATCGTCGCCATCGTGATATGATCGGAGAAGAGACATCAGGTAAATTTTTCAGGAGCAGAAAAAAACAACTGAAAAGGACGACGTAGAGTAGATCTAGTCCAATTTTCATAATGTTAAAAAAATTCCACTTTTGGTTGTTTATTTAAATACAGATTTTAACCAACGATAAACAACACGAGCTGTAGAATAAATTTTACTACCCCCCCCCCACCCCCCACGCACCCAAGTTTGTAGTTAACCGATCTTATCACGTTGGTGACAAATAAAATTATACTTATCAGAAACTCCACTTAAACACTCTCCATACCTCTCTCCTGGGAATATGTCAAAGGACTCCACATCAAATGACTCAACCGGATACCCATCGCTTGCGATGATTTCCATCACGTGTCTGTCTATGGAGATTCTGATTGGACAGTTCAGAATGCCGTTGCTCACAAAACGAAAGCGATACCTCTTCCCTGGTTTCAAGAGAAACTCTTCTCTTGGAGTCGTGCTGTTCTTGCCAGTGACTGGGTCCATTATGGTCATGTAGATACCTTTGCCTGGAACAAGGAACGGATGGCGTGCTGAACATTTTGTGTTGTGTGCCCTCACTCACTCACTCACTCATTCACTCACTCGTTCACTCACTCACTCACTCACTCACTCATGATTACGGTCCTGTAGTCTAACCACTTGACCATTAGTTTTTTGGTATTTGGCCGTCCATTTCAAAAGTAAAACAATATTTTAGGTCTAAGGATTTTTTTAAAAATTGATATTTTTACGGCCCCATCAACACAAATTAGACTATTTAGGAGGCGTGCTTCAGCACAACATCCCAACTGAAAGACCAAAATACTCGATAAAGATTAGCCCCCACGGGAATCGAACCAGAGCCTTCAGCATGCAAAGGAAAAACGCTGAGCCATTACACCACTAGGAGATGATAAAACTACAATGATTTTTTAAATTAGTCTTTCAATGTAATATTTATTCTGAAGTTGCAGCATCACATTGAGAGGTAGTTTTCCCTGCGACAAAGGGACATTTTTCTGCTTCACTAGAGGTGTTCACAAACTGACATTACAGGTTTGGTCCTACCGAAGAGGTCTTGCCTCTTAAATAACCTATTAGTGTTGAGAAACCTTTAACCCCAATGGCTCCTTTCCACAGTTCCCTGTTGCAGTGCTGCGGCAGCCTGGAATCCCATTAACATTGGTTACATCGATGACTTTCTATATCAAAGATCATTCATAACAAGATAGTTCATTCGGCCAAAAAAGTGTTCCCGGAAGTCAGCACATTGCTTCAGATGGCGCTGCAGTTTTAGTTTTGAAGCTCTATTTCGTTTCTCCAGAAGAAGAACAGGAGTAGCACTGTTTGTTAGTTTCCCTTTTATTGGGGTTTTTTTTTTTACACACGTAGGGTAACTGTTGGCTAAGTCCACACTCCGGAGGCTCCGGATTTTGAATGTCAATATGGACTCGGGACTCGGCCTTTTTGTGATTAGCTGCAAATCACCCCATCGCGCGACTCGCAGGCAAGAAAACAAAAGCGTTTGTTTCTGTCGGTCAACTACCGAATCGATCGGTTTTGTGCCACGATGGCAGCTTTGCGCCCTCAATTTGGCTAGCCCCGACTATCAAATCGACCCGACCTGACCCGACCCGACCCAATGGCGCTATTGGGCACTCCCTATTACACCATACGATTTGTCACATGATCCATAGATCGTCCAGTTTTTGTACAATAAATCCTTGCCTGCAACCGGGCCTTAACTCATTTCTGTGGCCAAGCTCACCACTTCTAAACCAAAACAAATAGTATTTAAAAGCTAAAAGCAAAAGATTAAAACAGAGGTCCCCCTCCACCCCCC